CCCCAAAACCCCAAAACCCCAAAACCCCGGCCTACTAATTAACACGAATAAACTGAACTAAACTTAGTTAAAATAGATAATAGATTAAAATATTTATTACCTTCATACTGATTAGCACACGCACAATTGCTTGCTCATAGATACTCTATGAGAGTCAATCCTGATCTCTTGTGAAATCATCATCTACATTGTAGCCCATCGAGGACTAAGTCCTCTTTTTGCGGCTTTGGCCCATTGCACTGAAGGATCTTTTTACAGGTGTGGTAGCAGTGGTGTCCATTATCGCTCCTGGGGAGACAGTGTTAAGTTCATACTTGCCGAACTCAGACATTATCCTGTAGGATCCAGGTCCTGGTGTATGCTGCTTGAAAGTGCTCGCCATTTTGCTTCTCTGCATCGTAGACATATCAACTGAGTAATTAAGTGACCTGAGAGCATTTGAAACTCCCTCTGGATTATTCTATGAACCGGTTCCGAACTTCCTCACATAGCTATTTCTATACGTTGAGACAAAATATTTTCCGTCTCTGTTTATTAGCGTTTTTGGATCATACTAGCCAGGTCCAGGAGTGTTATTTTCTAAAATTTAACTATGACAATGAAAATTACTTATTCGAAGAAATTCTCTGGGTTTTTTGGCGAATTTTTGAGAGCCTGAGTTATGATACTTTGAGTTATAGTATATCCCAGTTTTGCTGATGTTATTTAGATCATTGTAGTATCCAGGTCCAGGATTCGCGGGGAAATTAAATGCTATTAAAATGAGTTTAATGCCATAATAAGTATACGCAATTCATGGTTTTCTTTCTTGCCCAGAATAAAGCTTCTATTATCGTTGCAAGTTTTTTCTACAAAGGATTTGACATCATAAGATCCGGGACCAGGCATCTCTGGATCCTAAATAAAAGGCTATGTCTTAGTGTAAACTCGTTTATAGACTTCTCTTGATGCTCCGAAACTAAAGCCCTTCTTTGGAGATTGTGAGAATTCTGAAGGCAAGTTGATATCTTCCGTTGTCAGCATTGAATTAGGACTCATCGGTGTATTCTTCCTCTTGCTTTTAAGCTCTATCATCTTAAATCTATCTCCAACACCAAAGCTTGTGGATCTTCGGTTTCACATCAACGGAACATCATAATAGAGATCGCATCTAAATATGAATCTGAATATGACATGATTACAGCAATTTCTTAGGAGGCTTGAATCTGCGCTACTTCGGAAAGGAGTAGAGTTGCTTGGACTTTGAAGTGTTTACAGGGCAGTAAGCAGCAAATAATAATTCCATGTTTGATGTCACTCTGAATTTAATAAAATAAAACTTAATTACAAAGATTATCTTAAACTTAAAAAAGTATTTAAGATTTTTATTAGCTAGATATATAAATTAAAAATATAGCAAACCATCATTCTATCTATTAAACATTTAGTTGTATGATGTAATTAAAATCAAACGAGTAATTCATTATTTCTATTCCCTCATGAACTTTCAAATATACATTGAAGATAAAAACATCGATTCATTCAATACCGTACCAAAACTTTTATGCCTTCATATTGGCCGTTTCTACTGCATCTGCTAGAAAGATGTATTTATTATGTTTTAGCTAATTCCTCCATCACTCACTCTAGGTCTTCTGCTATCAGCAATTACTTTTTAAAGGTATGCTTTTGGGACTTTTTTTAGTTTTCCCTTGTGATTGTTTTCAAGGTAAATTTTACTAAGTTTTTCTTGGACGTCTCTATTAGATATACTTCCTGTGTTAACTACCACATCATTTGATTTATTTCTAGCATGAACACCTTGACTGCCTACTATCTCAAAATATACAATCTCTAATAATAATGGGTGAGATGAATAATTACTTTGATTTTAAGTGTTGTTGACAATCAAATTAGGGGCATTTTAGAACATTGGATCTGTAGGAAATATTTGATTGCCATATTGAAGTAATGCTTGACTATTTAGATTTTAGTTATTAGCACTATTACCACCTCCACCATTGTTAAAGCTATTGCTCTGCTGAGTGTTTTGATTGCCACTGTAACTTCCACTATTAGCACTTACTTAGTTATAACTTGCAAGCTGTTAGCCAATATTTCTCTTATTATTTCCAAAGTCCATTGAGTTCCTCATTTCATTCAGAGCTAAACCAATGTCTGTTTTGTGTCGAGTGTGATGATGCTAGACACCTCCACCACTGCCTCCAGGTGTCTAACCGTTATTATAGCTCGACTATAAAACATTCTTAGCATTACTAGATCCATTAAAACTCTGAGCTTAAACATTGGTTGGAGCTAGATTACTAACTGAAGGGAATGGATTATATTATATAGACTGAGAGTACTATTACTGCTACTACTACTACTGCTGAATATTTCTTCTATGACTGTTTAGTTGATTATTGAACAAGCTCTAATCATTGTCATTTCTACTAGAGTTCAGTTATGAATTAAGATTAGGTTTTCTATCGAAAGACTGCTTAATTCCAATTTTACTGAAACTTGCTCTGAAATTTGATTATTAAAAAGTTGGATTATTTACTGTTTAAGTTACTACTGACTTCGCTGATTGGAAACACCTACTGCTAATTAGTTTTTATTGTTTTTGAAGAAACTGGACGAGAAATTAGCTTAATTATTTTGATCAGACTATATAGCTAGGTTATTAAATATATCACTTACTGTGATCTGTTGACCATTTATGTTTATTTGATGATGCTTGCTGCTGATAACATTGATTTACTTTGCAAGTTAACCCATTTAAGCTATTAATCATAAAAAATCTAAATACTTACATTAAGATTTGCTTCTTTTGTGTCCATCTATCATAGCATTATTGCTATTTCTAGTAGTTATATCTGAAGAACCATTTCCACCACCGCTGCTTAAATTTCCTGGATGATTGAAATTACTCATTGATTTGATAGCCTATACATTGAGTAAGTTTAGTGAATATCATTACATCTGACTAGAGTGCATGCTTATTAAGTCTGTTGAAAGAATCTATGAAATATGGATTATTATTATTCTAGCTACTAGTTTGGTTGCTAGCCTTTGAATTTCTTTCAGTAACTGAATCTCTTTAAACATCCATTACAGAAACTGAGAGCTTGGGAATTTTGTTAAGACTAGATTCTCTTGAACTATTAATAGGCTTTATAATACTTCCATTGTTATTGTAGTTACCCATCTCAGAATTCGATCTCTAAACATTTCCTATTTGCTTGCTTTAATCTTGATATTCTATGTTCTAAGAGTTGTTATTCTCTAGAGCTTGACTCACTTAAATATTCTATATATTCCGTGACATCTTTGCATTTTCTTTCTTCATCTTGTCATACTACTTTTATAGTTCTTTTAATTTGAAGCCCTAGGAATTGAAATCTTCAATCTATTTTAAGAGAGTATTTTCAGTCTACTTAATCTTTTCAGCCTTATTCATTAACTCTTCCTCCAAAGTCTTTATAATTTTACTCAATTTATCAATCTCCTGCTTATGCTTGCCAAGACTTGCTTCGTTAGTTGCTTAGAAATCATCTCTTTCTTTAGTAATTTAATCTAGTTTCTCCTAGAGGCATTCGATGTGCAATTTCATTTGTTATTCAACCTTGATATGATTTCTGCATTCATTCTCAAGCGCTCTCAAACATTTTTCATATTCTTTGTGAGCTGCTGGAATTGAGGAATTCGATGATGAAGAAGTTGGTGATGATATTTAGTCAAGTTTCTTCTATAAATCGATAATGCTAGATGTTGGCGTTTTATCATCTATTTTAGGAATCGTCCTCTCTCTTCTAAATCCTTTCTTAAATAGCTTATCTTATTTTAGCTTTTTACTGTCAAAATTGAACTACTCAGAGACCTCATCCTCTTCCTTAAGTTACTCCTGCTAAAGTTCATTTTCCTCAATCTTCATATTCATAAGAATCTCTATTGAGCTTTTAATATAATCTATCAAAGTGAATCCGTCTACTTCCCTCATTTACTCTTTCTCGACTTTGAATTGATCTTCTGTATAAGCATCGATTTCATCATCCGAGCGAATTTTGACTGAGAGATACAGTTCTAACAGGGCTTCTTTAAGAGTCTCATAATTTTCAATAAGTTAACGGTCCTACTGAGAGAGCTTATGATGAGTAAAGAGATTAAAATCGTGATTTTACTGAGAGCCAATCTAATCCAGCCTGTTCGGATTTTGTAATCGTTTCTAACTATTTAATAAATTAGAAGGTGTTTGACTTAAACTTAGTGCATCTTTGTTCCTATTTTAAAAGGCTCCATTTATAGATTACTGAGGGGCATTGATTGGTGTATCCATTTCTGATTCCCTAATTGATTAATTGACCTAATTTTGAGTTGTTGATTGGCTTAATTGCTAAAAATCTCGCTTCAGTTAAAGCTTCTTGCTTATCATTTTAATTATTATTAACTCATATTTTTATTAATTCTACAAAATTAACAAAATTTTGTGGTGATGGGGTTTTGGGGTTTTGGGG